AAAAAGAAAAAGGAAAAAATGTTTGTTTGAAAAGATTTTTATGTAAATTGCAGGTTGTGAGGGATTTTTGAGATCCTTTTTTTCATATTTCTTAAGTGTTGTCTAAATGATTTCAATGTTAAAAATAGAAAGAACATCGCCGGCAATAGAAAGAATAGAAGCAGTGACTAATGGGTAAAGAAGCAATTCTTAGTGGGTTTCCATTTGTTTGGCTAGAAGAGTGTTTGGATGCTGAGAAAATGCTTTCTGTTTGAACATGGCAAAACGTTTTTGTCCATATCATCAAAAAAAATATAAAAAATGCCATATGTGCGGAGTTAACGGCTCAAATTAACAGAAGGACTAACGCTATGCATTTGTTAGAGTTGAGGGATAAAAAAAGTACAAAAAATTGTTGAGGGATCAAAATGTGTATTTCTTAAAGTTGAAGGACCAAATTTAGCATTTAACCTATAATCTATACTCTGTAGGAAGATGATTTGATGAGGATGAAGAAGCAGAAAAGAGTGATGAAGAATTCAATGATGATGGTGATTGTTATAAGGTTAGCAAAAAGCTTTAGGATGCGTTTGCGATTGTTATGAAGTGTTATGGTTGTAACTGTAATTGTGACTGTAACTGTGCTGAACTGTAATTATAACTAAAAATTATTTTGATGTTTGATTATTTATTTCTTAAAAGTATAATAGATGAAATATAATAGATTTTTATTAATTATTAATTAAAATTTTAAAAATATTGTAAGATATATAATTATTAAAATAGATAATATTTATTATTTTTTAATAATTTAGGTTTTTTCGATTTGTTATCATTATTAAAATATTATAAATTATGATATAATTAAATCATACGAAATTAGATTTTAATAGGTAATTTTATAATTATATTAAATATTATGTGTTTTCTATAAAAATTATAATTAGAAAGTTTTAAAATGAAATTTCTAGTTATATATATAATTACTATAGATATGTTATGATTTTCTATAACTTCTTTAAAAAACAGTTTGAAAAAAATTACTAAACAGACACATATATATATATATATAAATACTGTAGGTTACGTAAAAAAATTTTTAGCCGCAATTCTAACTGTCCTAAACGCACTCTTAGCACTTGTATTTTTGGTTAATTTTGATTCTATGTTGCTCAATATTTTTGCATGATACCGACGTCTGTTTGTCCCTTAATTTAGTGCTAAATCAAATTATATAAATAGGGGATGTAAATATTTGGATACAAAAGTAGGGATTTGTTTTTGGGGCTTGGATTGACAAATGGTAACTGTTCTTTTGCTTTTGCCTTCACGTACTTTAAATGTAGGGATGCTAATACCGAGGTAAGTCTAGAAGAAAAGAAAAGGCTCTTTTTGATTAGCATAATATGTTGAAGAATTTTCAAAATATTTCCAAGATTTGGGTTCGAACCACAAAAAGTTGGTTTGAAGCAATTGCACAAAATGCATTTGAGAAAATATAACTTTGGTTCGAACCATAATTATATGATTCGAATCATTTACGTAAAACTAGAATCCGAAAAGTTACGATTTTGATTCGAATCACATTTATCTAATTCGAACCATTTACATCATAATAAGAGATAAAATTCAGATAAGTTTCTGAAGAGAGTGGATAACTTTAGAAGGCAAGGAAACACATGAGTTGGAATTCAAATCAAATCAAATGACTTTTGAAAGAGTTTCGAACGGATAAAAATTGAAAAGAAGTGTTTGTTCCCAATAGACATCTTGAAAAGAAGTGTCTATTCCAAGAGACATCTTGCCTTATAAATATAGAGTTATCTCTTCTTCTCTAGTGGAGTCTTTTTGAACCCAGAAATATCTAAATAAAATAGCCTCTTTTTGTATTGCGATTACTCGAGAAATCCCTATACAAAAACTATTGTTTTGTCGCTTTCCAAATGATGGTTCAGTGGTTGATCTTGCTAGTGCAAAGGTGAGATCAACAATGCGCTTCATTGTATCTTATGGGCATTTCGGGTTACCCCCTTTGCATAGCAGATTTGGTGGGGGCGAAATTAGCCTAAAGGAAAGTGGCATTTGCAGCACGCTTTGAAGCCAATGATCTAATGATCTATTTTCTAACCCCCTATTTCTCCAACAATCTTTAGGCTAATTTCCAATTTTTTGAGATCATGGCTTACTAGATAATTGAGAAGAAACTTGTGCTACAAAACGCATGTGAAGCCAAGGAACGCATGTGAAGCCAAGGAGATTTGGTGTGCAATAGTGACAAAAGGAAAATGGATTTCTGGTGTGATTAATCCATCTACAAAAGTGGTGGTTTATTAAATTGATTATAGCAATCGTGTGACCAAGCAATCGTGTAATCAAATTGTCAATGAGTGATGGTGGATGAATCAACCATAGGATGCAAATAAAGTTTTTGAATTGTAAGGCGATGATGATACATGATATCAACGCAAAAGGAAAACAAAGTGCAAACAGATTGAAACTCAATACATGAGGAATAGGTACGCATAATAAGTTTATGCTCTTGATTGCCATGAATTTTTCATATGATTTTGTTTTGCAAACAAATTTTGAGTGGGTTTATAAAGAAAAAAAAAAAAAAACAATGCTCATGATCTAAATACATGAGTTAGTTTTAGAAATTAATTCTTCAAGTTTGAGTGATGGTTTCATATCATTATCTATCAAATCTCTTTGAATGAAACATTGCATTTAGTGATATTGTTTCACAGGCTATTCATCCATGCTTATCTCTTGTATCTATTTAATTAAATATGAGGAGAAAACATCTCTTGGAGAATGGCTTCAAAGAAGTTATCAAAGATGCAAATGACTGTGCAAAGATTCATAATTAAACGTCATTTGGCACAATGAAGCAAGAGAAATAAAATGGGTCTTTAAATCCCATTTGCAGGTTAAATAAATCTCAAACTTGATAACATGGTTCTTGGCTGTGAGAAGGAAGATATTTATGGATTTGAATGTGATCATGTTTTAATATCATGATTGTGCCTTGATTTTGAGATTACTAATGTGATTAAAATAAAGTTCTATTTTTCTTTTCATTTAATAATGATTATTTACTGTTCTTTGGTGAATAATTATGAAGCTTTATGGAGTTTAAGTAGTATATCTTACTTTCTAGATCTGATCTTATTAAGGTTTGCTTAAGGCTTATTAAAGTCAATGAGATTTCCTTTACTTGGATTATGTTATAAGCATGTTTATGTATATGACAGTTTTAGTTAAAATCATTGAGTTTTGTACATGTGTTAACATGATTACTGTTTTTAATATGAGGCTTGTGGAAATATAAGAGGCTAATGAGTCTGGTCATGTTTCATTAATGAAAGGTTGCTTAAAGCATATTTCTACTTGTTACTTTTGATGCCTTTTATTTATACTTGTAAGATTATATACCAGCATATGAATATTGAAACAAGTGAGAATCAAGTCTCATGATGGTTCTTCAGCCATCTTGAAGAAAGAAATATTGAAATGGGATTTGGCAAACCCATTTGGAGATCCAACTGATGATCTTAGTTTTAATATAAACTAAGAGAAAAGAAGCCAAGTAAAAAGGGTCTTAGTTTTGATAAGGCATGAAGGATTTTGAATCCTTGTTTAAATGCTATCTCTTAATGAGATAATTTGTAGAAACTAGTGCAATCTTGTGTACTTGATTCATTTTTGTAAGCTTGGAAAGATGGTCCAAAGGATAAAGAAATATGGATTTAAAGAATCCTATAAACAACAAGAGTGAATAGCTCTTGGTCATGGAAAATGAATCTAATGATTTGAGTTGTTCCAAAATTTTGGTTCAAATCACTCAAAAATGGTTCGAACTTATTACGCAGAAAACTCAGAAAGTAACAAAAAGATTTGAAACATTTCTGATAAATCAAAAATTGTTCTGATATGTTTCTCATGAAGAATATTGATGTCATAAAATTGACAAACACTATTTAAAATGGTGGGAACAATCCCAAGAGTGAAAGGAATAAGGACTAAAAGTCCTTGACACCTGAAAAGCAAATAAATTAAATTTGAAAGTGGAAGAAGCAAGAATTCCACTTGTTCATGGTATTACAATTTTATATGGAACTATTTAAAGTGATAGTACTTGTTCTTAGAGATGTCTACACTTTTCAAGAGTTCA